CACCCCAGAGCCCCCGCGGAACCAGGCTGAGGCCACATCTCTGCTCACCCCCTGCCCCTGCTCTGTCCAACTCCCCTCCCCCCTCCCTCCAGGTTTCCTCTGACCCCTCCCTCAAGAAATCAATTTTATAAGAAGCACATCTCAGAATCTGCTCCTAGGGAACCTGACCCAAGATAGTCTGGATTGAAAACAGCCCTTGTTTGCAGATCTGTTTTCACAAAATGTTAGTTTTTTGTGCATCAGTTTCTGTCTTCCAACCTCGAATAAGATGTCATTTGACTAATATCCCCTCTCCCCATCACACACACACACCCTCTGAGTTACTTTTTTCTTGGTGAAGTAAAAAAACAACAACAACAACAACAACAAAAAACCCTCAATCTTTTCTTTCATCCACTTGGATATTAAGGTAAGATATTTACAGGCTCTGGTTTCCCTGGGTCTCTTTCGAGGTGTCTCTTTGTGTTCTGAGTCTTTCCTTAGAGGCCCTGTCCCTCCCAGCACAGGACAGGAGGAGACCTGGGGGAAGGAGAGATTAATCCTGGCTCTCTCCACCACTCTTTGCCCACCTCATTGATGCTGTAGCCACAGTTCTCAATAGAAGGGTCCTGTGATCCCAGCTAAGTCTTTAAACGAGTTATGACTGATCCAGTCAGAATCTAAGCAAATACAGACTTCGCTCATCTACTGTCTCCCGTATCTGTGTTCACACATCTTTGCTTCTGGTCAAAATACATTTACTTGTAATCGTCAATAGCAAAAATCCAACCTTCACGTCTTCATCAAGACCCAGCATTCTGGTAAGGTCTTTTGGAACCAGGGAGGTTATGTACACGAACTTTGAAAATGATGATGAGAATCCTAGATTTTTGCTCTTTTTACTGACTAACCCTTTTGTGTAGAGCTTGAGGGAAGGCATGGCAGTCCCTCCCACCAGGAGGCTATGGTTGCTCCTTCCGCTGCTGGCGTGGCTGCACCCCAAGCCAGAAATCCTTTTTTCTGTTTGCTACCGTCTAATTTGCCAGTAAGCCCTTTGCTCCCCATTCTGGTCCCTTATTACCTGGAGGCACATCTCCAGCAGCAAATAAACCAGGGCAGGAAAAACAGGTTCAAGACATTTCTGTAATTCTATTTGTTGATCACTTAAGGAAGCAAAATTATGTTTGAAAAAATTTTAAATTACCTGTAGATTTGATCTTATAGTCAATGCTGTCCAGCAGACATTAAAGTGCAAGCCACTCTGTAATCTTAATCCAGTAGCCTTAATCCAGTAGCCTCATTAAAATAAGTAAAAAAAGGGGCGCCTGGGTGGCTCAGTGGGTTAAGCCGCTGCCTTCGGCTCAGGTCATGATCTCAGGGTCCTGGGATCGGGTCCCGCATCGGGCTCTCTGCTCAGCAGGGAGCCTGCTTCTCTCTTTCTCTCTCTCTCTCTCTCTCTGCCTGCCTCTCTGTCTGCTTGTGATCTCTCTCTGTCAGATAAATAAATAAAAATATTAAAAAAAAATAAGTAAAAAGAGGGGCATCTGGGTGGCTCAATCAGTTGAGCATCCAACTCTTGATCTCGGCTAAGGTCATGATTTCAGGGTCATGAGATCGAGCCCCACACGGGCCCCATGCTGGGTGTGGAGCCTGCTTAAGGTTCTCTCTCCCCCTCTTCCTTTGCCCCCTCCCCCACAAATGTACTTTCTCTAAAAAACAAACAAATAAATAAGTAAGTAAAAAGAAAACAGGTGAAATTAATTTCAATGATATATTTTAACCCAAAGTATTCAAAACATTACCATTCCAACATGGAATCAACATCAAAAACTGAGATGGTTTACATTCTCATTTTGCATTAAATCTTCCAAATGTAGTGTTTTCCACTTAACACCACATCTCAGTTGGACCAGCCACACGCTGGGGGCTCGATGGCTACCCGTGGCCAGGATGGCTGCAGCTCTTCCCCTTCTAGATGCCTCCCCTTCATGGAGTAAACTGTGAAGCTCTTCAGGAAAAGCACGAGGTGGAAGGCAGTATGATTCACCAACTTTAGTAATTTTCAGCCCCTCTGAGTCACTAGAAATGTCACCTTCGAGGAGCAAGAGAGGGAGGAGCTCAGGAGTCTGAGATGCCAGCCATCTTCCTCCTTGCTCACTCTGCGGGTATCCTGGTGCCACGGAACACGCACGCTCAGACTCCCGTGCTGAGGAAGGCACTGGGAGGCAAAGGGGACAGGGAAGGAACTGACAAAATGGAAGACCATGAACTCCAGCACCAGCTGGTCTGGTTCCCTGCTCCACTGCCTCTGGTTATCTGACCTCCCTGAGCCTCATCTGATCATCCGTTAAGTGGGGCTCGCTGACTCCTTGGGGATGAGATAGCAGCGTTAAGTGCTGAGGGCCTGGCATGGAGGAAAGTGACTACTTGGGGCTTGCTGCTGTCTGAAGAAGATGTGTGACCTTCTGCAGGGATTCCCAGCCTCTGCCAAGCCAACCCCTTCGCTTGCTGACCCTTCTTGTCCTGAGAGGACACTGTCAAGACCCCCCACCCCTGAGCCTTGCACCGGGTCACCTCAGTTCCAGGAAAGTCAGTTGCTTTCCTGCATCTCTCTCCCCAGAGACCTGCAAGAGGCTGGGGGGAGGAGCTGCCTAGGAAACAAGGGTCCCAGGTCCCTCCCCATCAGGGAGAAATGGGAGTTACTGGATAAATAGCCCAGCTTCCTCACCCCTGGAGCAATTCTATGGAGCATTCTATATGGTTCCTCAGAGAGTCCCCAGTGGGGTTGAGCCCCAGCTGTCCACAGTGATAACCTGCCCATTAGCTGGTTCTTATCGGCTCTCTTCCCCTCCCCATCTCCCCTCGTAGCCCTTCATTATGCTTCCTGAGATCACCTCCCAAAAAAGACAGCTTACCCAGACCCACAGGACCCCCGCCAGCCCACTGCTCCTCAGCATTCTCCTTGCTCCAGCCTAAGGGGCCTGCCTGGCCGCACAGAGATCAAACTTTTGCTGATTCACTGGTTGCTAGGGACTAAAAAAGAAGCCTTACTGCCAGACCCAGGAGAGGACACACTACATGATTCCATCTCTACTATGCTCAAAACCAGGCACAGTAATTAATGCTGTTACAAGTCACACAAGTGGTACCTCTTGGAGGGAAGGGGATAGTGACACAGAGAGGAGTGGGGCCTTCTGTGGGCTGGACAAATGTTAGGCTCCTTATCTGTGGGTTTGCTTTCAGTGATTTCAGTTACCCATGGTCAACCACAGTCCAGAAACAGATGATCCTCCTCCTGACCTATCAGCAGAAGGTCAACAGTAGCCTAACACTACGTCATAGTGCCTACGTCATTCGCCTCGCTTCATCTCATCGCGTACGCATTTTATCATCTCACATCATCACAAGAAGGGTGAGTATAGTATGACAAGGTACTTCAAGATACAGAGACAACATTCACTTAACATCTATTACAGTATATCACTCTAATTGTTCTATTTTATTAGCAGTTATTGTTGTTAATCTCTTACTGTGCCCAATACATAAGTTAAACTTTATCATAGGTTATGTACATATAGGATATGTAGGGTTTGGTGCAACCTGTGGTTTCAGACATCCACTGAGGTCTTGGAATGGATCCCCGTGAATAAGGGGGACTCCTGTAGTCTGTTTCGAGGTCTCGGTGCTAGTTATCTGGTTGTGTTCACTTTGTAAAAATTCCTCAACTCGTCAAACTATACACTTTGATTTGCAAGCACTTCTCCAGTGTGCTATATTTAAATGAAAAATCCACTTCAGAAAAGGTTTTTTAAAAGGAAAAAAGGAACTTTTGAGTAGGCCAGCCCTCTCTCTCAGAGAGAGGACACTCTTCCCAGGCCAGGGAAAGAGCTCCTGGCCAGCACTCTCAGAACCAAACGGTGTGATGAAGGTTATGAAAGAAATCTAAATAGACAGGATCAGAGAAGGGCCCTGGGTGAGGACGGAAGTGCTGGGATCTCCCTCTGGAGGGAGCAATGGACATCTTCCTATCCCACCAAGATGCCAGGGAACCCCGAACTCTGAAAGGGCTGGAGGATCGGAAGACTATCTACAGTAAATTCTATGAGGCTGTAGGGAGAACAGGTCATGACCAGGACGGGTCTGAGTGGTCAGGACAGGATGGGTTTACATGAGATGAAATGGGACAGGATGAGATGGGATGGGGATCTGAAGGTGGGACCCAGAGTGTAAGGAGCTTACATGAAGTCCATCAAGATGAGAAGTCTGGATTTCATCTCATCTAGAGTTGGAGAATTTTCAGAAGGGAAATGTCATCCTCAGAATTATCCTCAAAAGATCCCTCTTTTGAGGTGTGGAACTGTGGGCCTCAAGGGGAAGTCTAGGGGCCAGATGTTTCTAAATTAAAACTAATGAGGCCTTAACCAATCAGAAGGGCTGGGAGAGAGGCCAATGGACACCCCCAGGATTCTCTGTGAACTGAGCTGGTAAGGACCCAGGTCCACGCTTCATCAGTCAGGAAACTGAGGAAGGACCAAGGGGAGGAAGACACTTGGCAGCCTCACACAGGAGACGAACATCTCCTTTTCTTCCTGAGCTCTCAGGAGCTCCATCTGAGACAGGCTTACATCCCCACAAAGGAGCAAAGGACACCACCTGTGAGACCACAAGAATCCATTCTAACAGTCAGCCCAGTGACAGCTGAACTCTGCCCCTGGGGAGTCTTGTGTTGGTGGTCACAACTCCGAAAACACTTTCAGCCCGTGACCCATCTTGAGGGGCCCTAGAACTTGGGCCATTACCACACCAGACAGAGGTGAAAACAGTGTCTGAAAAGAGGCTTTGCCGGGCTCAAGGTGACTCAGCTGCCGGTGGCACAGCCGGGAGCTGAGCCCAGATGCCCCAACCTGCCGATCTTTCCAGAAATGCCACCCTGCTCCACGCTCCCGAGGTGGTCTTCTGGTGGCCAAGGAGCAAGAGCTCTGCCAACAAAACAACCGCGAGGGGCACGCCCCCCTCCTCACCTGTGTGCGTACGGACATGCCTCTTCAGGTCAAAGGTGTCATTGAAGCCCTTGCCACAGAAGGTGCACAGGTGCCTCTTCACCTGGTTGTGGCACTTGAGGTGCCGGTTGAGCATGCGCTGCAGGCGGAAGGCCTTGCCGCACAGCTCGCAGCTGTAGGCCGCGGGGTCGCTGCATGTGCCTGTGGTGAACTGGGGAGAGAGAGAAGGAGGGGGTGAGGGCTCCAGTGCAGATGGGCACATGAGCTCAGCCCAGGGGTGCACCTCCCCCCTGTTTCGCCAGGCTGGTGCTCCTGACCCCTAACCCTAAAACTTCCAAAGGGGATTGGGAAAGAAAGAACCAGAAGCCCTGTCCCACATTCATTCACCCCGCCTGCCTCAGAACAGACTTGTGATTTCTGGGCACAATGGCTCCCCCCC